TTATGTGCTATGTGTTGTGGTTGTGTGTACTGTGCTGCATGCTGGTGCCGAGGCAGCCAATAAGCTTGTGTATCTAAACGTGGCGGTAGGTGCGTCCTGAGGCTCTGCCCGGGGCATTGCAGCCCTGTCCCCAGCAGTCCCCTCACCTCACAGTCCCTTCTCCTCCCAGTGTAGCCCTCCCTGCTGTTTCAAATCCTCAGGACAGAGCGTTGGGAGAGTCTGTCCAGAGGTTTTAGCTTCACACAGTGTCCCTTCCCCCCACAGGTCCTCAGGGCTAGAGGGTTCTCAAGATCCCGGGTGGCAGTACCTGGCCCTCAGGTGTGTTACCTGTGTGAGTCCAGAATGGGAGGCCAGCAGTGGTGGTGACCCGGCTCTGGAGTTTCGGGGGTCAGAAGGAGAGCAGCTAGGCACTAAGGCTGACTCGCCAGCCAGCAGCGCCTTGGGCCCCCACCGCAGCAGCAGCAGCAGCAGGAGGAGGAGGAGGAGGAAACACCTCAGCAGGGCCTGATGCAAAACCGGGCCTGGACTCACAGCTCCCGGGGGTGGGGGCACCCTGCAGCAGCCTTCAGAACCCAGAACCCATTTGGTGGGTACATGGAGAGGCTTGGGGCTTGGCCCCTGGCTCCAACAGACTCTCTCAGTAGCTTCAGTCGGACCAAGCCCTGGGCCCAGTGGCCGTCAGTGCAAGGGGAAGCAGCCCCACCCGGCCCACAGAGGAGCTGATAGGAACTTGGTTTGACAGCAAAGTTGGAAACCACACTAAGAACAGGGAAATGGAAGAGCGGAGGGCTTTGCAGCTGAGAGCACGGTTCCTGCTCTGTCATTGGGGGACCCCCGGTAAGTGTCACAGCCTTTCTGAACTGCAGCTTCCTGCCATGAAGACTGTGGAGGCTGAATGCAAAGCACCTACTGTGAGAATCGTGTGCCGGAGACAAGCGGGCAGGTAGCATGTGCCAGATTTGCCCTGTCCCATGTAGCCCACAGATATTTCCTCAACTGACCCCTTGGCGTCCGTGCACTCTCTGGGGAGTGCTGGCCATTGCAGAGGGGGATCTCTTTAGCTCTTCTGCCACCCTAGGCCCCATCCATTTGAGGAGACCTGGGCACTTCCCATCCCCTCCATGAGAGGCCCCTTTTAAGCCCTTGCCATCTGTCCCCCGACCCTGTACATCTGGAGAATAATGGCAAGCTTGGGCCCTAGATTACACTGGCTTTGGCACACGAACCTGTAGGGCTGTTGTTGTTGTTTCCCACATCCCCAACAGGCCATGCTATTTCCTGCCAGCTCCCCTCCAATCTGTCTGCCCTGCCCTGCACCCCCTGCCTCCCCTGCTGACACCACGGGGGACAGAGGGCAACTCACAGACCCTGGTGTGGGCACTGAACAAATTGCTGTTCTGCTTGCTCTCATTGTGGGACCAGAGACAGGTCCAAATGTCACCATCACCTTGAATGACCTATAGCCCACAGGTCAGCCCTCCTTCTATTTTGTGCTAGTCAGTCTTATTTCCTGAGCCTGTTTTATTTATTTAGTTTGAAAGGCAGAGCACACAGAGGCAGGGAGAGGCAGAGAAACAGACCTGCTGGTTTACTCCCGAAATGTCCCCAGTAGCCAGGGATGGGCCAGGCTAAAGCCAGGAGCCAGGAGCACCACCTGTTTTTGCCCAACTGAGAAGCAGGAGGAAGTGGGCCACCATCTGCTGCTTTCCTAGGCACATCAGGAGGAAGCTGAATTAGAAGCAGAGCAGCTGAGTCGAACTGGTACACACCAGCACTGATATGGGATGCCACTGGTGGTAGCCTGGCCCATGACACTACAAAGCACGGTCCAGGGAGTCTCCCTCTCTCTCAGATTTATTTTGCTTTTATTTTTTATTTATTGGAAAGGCAGAGTTTACAGAACGAGGAGGGGACACAGGAAGAGAGAGCTCTTTCAGCTGTTGGTTTATTCCCCAAATGGCTGCAAAAGCCAAGGCTGGGCCAGACAGAAGCCAGAAGCCAGAAGCCAGAAGCCAGGAGTTTCCTCCAGACCTCCCAGGTGGATGCAGGGGGTCCAAGCACTTGGGCCATCTTCCACTGCTTTCCCAGGCCATTACCAGGAAGCTAGATCGGAAGCGCAGTAGCAGAGTCTTGAACTGGTCCCAATATGGGATGCTGGGTTGCAGGTAGAGGCTTAACCACAACACTGGTGCCAAACCTCTATCAAGTAGGGGCTTTCCTACAGTTGAGGCTCTGACAAGCTCTACGTAAGACACAAACACAAGGATTTGTGGACCACCTCTGGGGGTACACAATGGGAGTGGGTGCAGTAATGCCTGCCACCTCCATCTCGGCTCCCTGGATGGACAGGGAGCAGCCAGAACAGCCTCCCCACTTCCCCAGGATACTCTCCACCCCAGTCCCTGCTTCCAGCAGCCATGAGCCCAGGGAGACATCAAGCTCTGCTCAGCCTACAGGTCCTGGCAATCCCTTCCTCCCCCTGGCTCCCTGTCCTTCCATCACTGTGTCACCTTGTTGCAATTTCCAGCCACCAAACCCTGCTCCCCTACCACTCAGAGTTCATCTGGCACCTTCTCCACCTGAAACCTTCCCTAGGTCTCAGTACCCTCTCCTAGCAACAGTGCCCACCATCTTGCAGCTTCCAGCGGCTGCCCACTCCCCATCCGACTCTTTCCAGCTGTACCTCTTCTCTGCCCAGGTGCACTTCTTGCCCTGGTCTCCTTGGCCTACAGGAGACCCTCCAGTCCTCTTTGCCCAGCTATCAGAGAGCCTTCCCCTCCTACTTGGCTCCTCAGATTGGAGGGTGCTACCTCGCTAGCCAGCCAGGGTACACCTTGGCCCATTTATCCATCTATTCTAAACCAGAGCCTTCCCTTAGTCATGGCCACACTAACTTCAGAGACAGCCCCACCTCCTTTGGTAGTATCCAGCCCATGCCTGACCTCTGACCTTTGGTGTTCTCCAGTGACACCCTCCACCTGACCCGACTATCCTTAGATGGACTCTTCTTCCTGCCCCTGCAACATCCTTGACCTTCTGGGTTAAAGTTCTGCCTGGTCTCCACCTGACCTTGGGTGGAGTTTCCTTCCCACAGGGCACGGTCGGGAGTGCTTTCTCCACAGCGGCTGCTCTCCATCCCCTCTGGTCATTGCATCATCTCTGGAGACAGCCCTCCTGTCTAGCGCACTGGCTCTCAGGGCAGTTCTGAGGGGGCTCTGCGATCTTGAGCAACCACCCTACCTGTCTGTAGAATGGCATAGTAGTACCTATCTTATGGGCAAGTCATGCTGCTTCTTTTTTTTAAGATTTATTTATTTATTGGAAAGTCAGATATACAGAGAGGAGGAGAGACAGAGAGGAAGATCTTCCATCCAATGATTTACTCCCCAAGTGAGCGCAACAGCCGATGCTATGCCAGTCCGAAGCCAGGATCCAGGAACTTCTTCGGGATATCCCACTCGGGTGCAGGGTCCCAAGGCTTTGGGCCATCCTCGACTGCTTTCCCAGGCCACAAGCAGGGAGCTGGATGGAAGTGGAGCTGCTGGGATTAGAACCGGCGCCCATATGGGATCCCGGGGCGTTCAAGGTGAGGACTTTAGCTGTTAGGCCACACCGCCGGGCCCAAGTCACACTTCTTAATTGCAAGGCAACTCACATAGGAGGACCGCAAGATGGTGGGCACTGTTGCTAGGAGAGGATACTGAGACATAGGGAAGGTTTCAAGTGGAGAAGGTGCCAGATGAACTCTGAGTGGTAGGGGAGCAGGGTTTGGTGGCTGGAAATTGCAACAAGGTGACACAGTGATGGAAGGACAGGGAGCCAGGGGGAGGAAGGGATTGCCAGGACTTGCAGGTTGAGCAGAGCTTGATGCGGCTTTTGGTGGCTTTCACGCCCTGTCGGGCTGGAGCTGGCCTTAAAGCCTGCTCTGCACATCCTGCTGGGGCCGTCCTTGGTACCACACCTTGTCCGTGCACTGCATAGGACTGACAGTGCAAGACAGAATCTTGGGAAAGAAGAGCCTGGAAGTGGGGAGGGCCCCTCTGCTGGTCCTGGTGTGGAAGCCACAGCCCTGCAGTCAGGCAGGGGGAGCGGTGGGGAGCTGACAGACACCAGAAGCAGTCTCCATGGCAGCAGATAGAGCCACACAGGGTCAGAGGCCAAGTCCTCTGCTGGTGCAATGGGAAAGACTTCAATAAGGAAGTCACTCTTTTCCCTCTTAAAGATTTATTTATTTGAAAATTATGGGGAGAGAGGGGACACAGGGATGAGGGAGGGAGCGAGGGAGAAAAAGAGAGAGAGAGAAAGAGAGAGAGAGAGAGGTCTTCTGATCCTCTGGTTCATTCCCAAGATGGCTACAACAGCCAGGGCAGGGACAGGCTAAAGCCAGGAGCCTAGAGCTTCTTCCAGGTCTGCCATGTGAATGCAGGGGTCCAAACACTTAGACCACCTGCTGCTGCCTTTCCTAGGCCATTAGCAGGGAGCTGATCAACAGTGGAACAGCCAGGGCACAAACCAGCACCCACAAGAAATGCTGGAGTTGCAGGCAGTGGTTTTATCCATGACACAACACTGGCCCCAACAAAGCCATTTTTATGCTGGGCCTGGGGAAGGCAGCCACGATTTCAATAGGAGAAAAAGGTGCGCAAGTGGGCCAGAGCTGCAGGCTGTCGGAGAATGAATGGAGAGGTGGGAAGGGACAAGGGGGCGGGCTGCCAGCCCCCATCCCTACCATGTGGCCAAGTTCGTCCCCACAGAGTGTAGGAGGGGCTCCAATAGTCATCTGGGGGAGAAGGCTGTGGGATCGTATGTGTGGAATGGCAGGGACTCGTGAACCTGGCACAGGTGCAGGACACACAACACTGACATTTCTGCCCCTCCCCCACCCCAATCTCTCCCAGCTTGTGCTGGCAACCTGGGTCCCACCCCCTACAAGGCACAGAGGTACCAAGGAAGTGAAGGGACAGTTGGGCCCCAGAGGGAAACAATGACAGGGCGGCATGCGGAGTCACAGTCTTTATTGTCCTGTTCAGGAGCCCCTTACAAAGGGACCCACAGAGCAGGGGTGAGGCGAGCAGCACAGGGCTCACTGATTTGAGGAGCTGGCCCCCTGCCCTGATGGGCCACCCATCTTGTTGGACCTAAGGGTTGCCACCCCCATATGAAGCCTACAACTGGGCTTCATCTATAGGGGACCACTCTATACAAGCCAGCTCTGCTCCCCACACCAGCTAGGCTCCCCAAAGCAGGGGAGACTGGGCCCGAGGGCTGGGAGGTCCCAGGAGAGGGGGAAGTGGCTGTAGGAGCTGGTGGATATTGGCAGGTGGGGCTCAAAAAACCCCAAGGGCAGCTGCTGGCAGGTGCCCAGGGAGGGCCCAGCCCGCCCCTTGGCCATTCCTGAGGCCCCTGGCCAAGGCTCCAGGGCAGCTGAGTGGCCCTAACCCACCCCATCCCGGAGCTAGTGGCAGAGGGACAACTCCAAATCTGGCTCCCAAACAGTCCCTGTCCTGCCCTGAACATGGGCCAAATGTCCCCAGACCTGGCACTGGGCTGACCCTGTAGGCAGGGGTAGGAGAAGCTCTACAGAGGTGGCTGAGGACTTTCTAACACAGGAACCAAGAGGGTGCCACAGGGTAGGGGGCACAGGGAGCTCGTAGGTAGCAGGACCAGCAAACACCCATCCCATCCCATGCTCCCCCTCAACCCTTCCAACCCCCAGCCCAGGCCACTGGGTCTGAAACAGCAGGTCAACTCTGCTGTTGATGAGGAATGAGGAGGGCGATGAATTTGAACCTAAAAAGGTAGCAGCTGCCTTCTTGAGGGTATGGTTGGCTCCGGGCCTCTGGCAGCCATCACCGCAGGTTGAAGGCCAGGCTGAATGTCAGGACGATGCCCAGGAGGAGCAGAAAGGGCAGCCAGGTCTTTACAAAGGCCCCGACACTGAGGGAGAGAGAAGAGGGGCAGGCATGGACAGGTGAACAAATATGTGGCTCACAGAGCTATCCTCCCAGTCCCCAACAGCGCCACTGTCCCCACGGAAGCCCCCTGGAGCCCCTCAGCCCAAAATTTGGTCAATCAAGGTACAGGGTCCAGCCTGGTATTCACGACAGAGGGCCTGTGCCAGGTTCTGGGTGTAGAGCTACTGACCTCCTGTAGGCACAGACTCCATACACAAGCACCTGTCTCCAGGAAGAGGACCAGGAACTGAGCGTGGAGGCCACACATGCTCTCAACCCACAGCTGTTGTGGGCACCAAGACAGAAGGCGGGGGAGGGCAACGGGCACCAGCACAGTGCACAGCTGGGCTCAGCCTTGGCACCATCTGTCCCTGTGGCCTGGTCTTGTTCTCAAGGAGACTTCTGAGCCTTTCCCCACAATTCCACTCCAGAAATTCCACAATAAGCACAGTTAGGAAGGAAACAGAGAGAGGTGCTCAGACTAGCTCAGGTGTAAGCTGGTTTGTGTCTGGACCCTGCTGGGACCACAGGCCTCATTCAAGCTCTCAGAGCTCCCTTGTCACCCAGGAATCAGAATAAATGCCTTCTATCTCACCAGTCACAAGACAGTAGCTTCCAAGGTTTACCTGGGCCACCCCTGGGCCCAGCGGCCTGTCTCTGACAGGGCTGCCTGGCAAGTTCCCATGGGGGTGGCCACCACACCAGCTCATGAAGATTCCCCCTGCTAAGAAAGAAGGTGGCTCCTCAGCCCCATCTGGCCAAGGTTAGCAGCAGCACGCAGAGGCCTCAGCAGGGGGCAAGCAGCAGAGCTGAGCCCAGGACCTGCCTGTGCAGAGCTGCACTTCAGCACAGACGCGTTCCTCTCCAGGGAACTCAGTTCAACATTCTAGAACCTTCACGGCCACAACAGGCACTGGCCTCAACTGTCCCTGCTGATGCAGGACTGAGGCCTTAAAGGTGGGCGGACTGCTTACCTGACATACTTTCCATAGAGCAGGCAGAAGAAGCAGAGCGTCACCATGTTCCAGCTGGTGCTGTTGTTGTAGCGCATCAGGTTCAGGGCCAGGGCCACGTGGGAGTGGCAGTTGTCACAGCAGAGATTGTGCTGGAGGTACAGGAAGGGTTGTGTCAGGATGGGCTGCAGGGGTTGCCTCAACCCTGCCCCTGGAGAGCCAGCTCCTACCATGCGGTGCTTGTACTCCTCAGAGGCATCATGCACGGCTGTGTCCCACGCGTTGGGCCCGCTGGTGTAGACCTGAGTGGGGTCCAACTTCCAGTACCTACCGGGAAAGGGGGTTCTAGACAATGGCTCAGCCCTGCTAACGTTCTCAGATGACTGCTCTGTGCTTGCTCTGTAGCTGGCAGCAGAGGCTCGGGGTGAGCCAGGCCTGGGACTGGGAGCAAGGCTCAGGCACCTAGGAAATGTCTATTGCCCTGGGGGACCCTGGCAGATGGATTCGCTCAGTCATAGAGAACCACAGTCTGTGTCTCCCTGGGGTTAACCATAACCCCACAGTGGTGGTGTCAGGAGATGGGGATTAGGTCATGGTGAAGCCCAACTGAATAGGATCAGTGACCTCGGAAGAAAGGCCTAGAGAGACCCTTGGCCCTTCTGCTAGGCAAGGTGATGGGGAGAGGGCACGTGGGGGCCCTCCAGACCCTGAATACACTGGCGCCCTGACCTTGGCCATCCATCCCGTGGAAGTGTGAGAGGACTTGGTGGGTTCTAAGACACAAGTCCACGATCCTGGGTGACCCAGACCAGGTAAGAGGCCACTTCTTGAAGCTGAGCCAGACTAGAGGAGGGGTCAGCCAGGCCTGCACAGTGGAGGTGGACCTTCTGGGCAGAGGGATGCCATGACACAGCAAGAGGGATCCCATTGCAATGTCCCCAGGGACCAAGTGGCTGGGCCCTGCTGGAGCACTCAGGAGAAGCTGCGATGGGAGCCAAGGGATGTGCTGGAATGAAGCTGGGGCCGCTGAGCCATTGCCTTCAGCAAGCGGGACAGGAATGGCCACTCTAGGCCATGGAGTGCTCTGGTGGCTCCAGGCCTAAGAGTGCTGGCAGGTCAGAGGGGCACCAGCTGCTGAGTGAAGGGCCCAGACTGTGAAAACCCACCATGGCATGGCTGGTTGCTAGGGCTCCTGCCTGAAGGAGGAGTTCCTTAAGGGTGTCTGAAAACCCATCTGCCACCAACTCCTGGCCCAGAGGCCCTGGCCCACATTTCCCATCCTGAGCAAGTCAGACCAGTGTTGGTTGGGGAGCTGGGCTTCTAGCTGCCTTGGCCTTGGGGGCCCCCACCCTCCTTGGCTCCTTTGCCCTGATGCAACCATGAGTACCTGGGCACCAGGTGCTCCTCTGAGAATCCTGATGGCCACTTTTTCCCCAGGCATGCATCTGCGGTGAAACAAACTGAGAAATAAGAAATCCGCAGCTACAACAGTGCCAGCTGCCCGAGACCTGGCTTGCCTCTGACACTTTATTTACTCCGAGGAGCAGGAGGGAGCGGGCGGCAGAGGGGCTTGGAGTGGGGCCAAGGGCGGCTCCATCATTTCCTAAGGAGAACCCTCCCGCCCATCTCTTCTCTTTCGTTCCCTGTGCCATGGAGCTGAAGCGTGACCTGCAAAGCTGAGGCAAAACCTGTACACTCCACAGGTAAAGGCCCAAGCCAGTACCTGGCCTGGCAGGTGCCAGTACAGGGCTGCTCCACTCTGATAGACCCACCGCCCCTCCCCTCCATATCCCTTCTTTAGGGTGTTGGCCCTGCTGCACCCTGGAAGGCCTGGCCTAGCCTGGAAAGAGGAAGTTGACCTTGAGGCCAGTCACAGGTGTTCACTTACTTGGCAGGCTTTCCAAAGGCCATGTTGTCTTCCTGTTAAAGGACAAGAGCAGAGGTCAATAGTGGGAGAGTGGTTTGGGCCTGCCCAGGGGCTGCCACAGCACCTGCATGGCTACTAGCAATTGCTCTGAGGGATGAAGGCAGCATGGCAGAAGTGTCCAGGGCACCTCACTGGGAGGCCACAGGCCTGAGGCTCCAGTCACCAGTGCCCTTGCATGGCACCAGGGATGTCTCATTCTCTGGTATTCTGGTCACTCATCTCTGACACTTCATCAACTGTCAAGCAAGTCATTCCTCTCCCAGTGTGAATGACAGCAGAACTCTCGCCTCCCAATCTGGCTAGTGGCCCCCACAGAGCCCAGCTTTGTGGGTGGCAGGCCAGGGGCTGCCAGGCTGCCGTCAAGCCCTAGGCCCACCACCTGAGACCTGGGCTCTTGGGGGTCACATGCAGGGAGGTCCTGCGGACAAAGCTGGTAAGAGGCAGTGGGAGTAGTGCCTGGGAAAGTGTTGGTATATGGGAAGTGAGACTATGCTAAGATGATGTGACAACTATGAAGATATATTCCCTGGAGCCTGCACACCTTCCTTCAAGCTACAGATGCGTAAACAGGCACACTGGGCATGCTCACTGAAGCCGGCCCAGAGGGGCAGTGCTGGTCTACCCCAGGGAAGCATACCGGCCTCGCTGCTGCCTATGGTGACTCCCACCTTGTGCAGGTGCAGAGCTGTGTTCCCCAGATAATCTAACTCATCACTCTAACCCTAACCCTATTCATGTCTCAGAGCTCAGAGGTTGGGGCAAAAGGCTGGGCCAGTTACTTAAGAATCCTTCCACCAACACTGCCCTCCTGGTCCTTCCTAAAGACAAGAGAAATGGGCAGAGATCATAGGCTGGGGAGGCTGGGTCTGCGAAGCTGTGTTGTCTACCTGCTCCTGGGCTATGGAGGCACAAGACTGACAGCCTTCCCCGGAAGCCCTGGAATCCCCAGAGGGGCAGAAGGGGGACTCACCGAGACAAAGTAGGGGCCAGCAAAGTCCCGGATGACTCCTGTGGATGTGCAGATGCCCATGTGGCCAATGATGGGGAAAAACCACCTGTAAGGGAGAAGGAGAAGGAAGGGACAGGGTCAAGGATCTTCCAGCCAGCCAGACACTGGGGATGTTTCGAAGAGGAAGCATGCAAACACGCACTGTGGGGTGGCTTTTGTACTGTCCTCAGGAGCAGCTGCAGATGACCACCTAAGGGGACACCAACATGAAAGACTCGCCTCCCCTAGCTGGTCCCAGTTAAAGGATGAGGTTGAATGCACAAAGTGACGAACAACCAGAATTTATTCACCGCAAGCGGACTCTAAATTGTTTCTGCCATCACTTTGGAAAACAGCCTGGCGACATAAGCTAGGATTCTGGGTTCCACTTCTAAGAGCATTAGCAGAATGAGTGCCACGTTCACCAGAGCTATTGAAAAGGATGTTTAGGGTCTGGCACAAGGGCTCAACTGGCTAATCTTTCACCTCCAAGCACTGGCATCTCATATGGGCACTGGTTCACATCCCAGCTATTCAACTTCCCGTCTAGCTCTCATCTATCCTCTGCTGGGAAAGCAGCTGAGGATGGCCCAAAACCTTGGGACCCTGCACTCATGTGAGAAACATGGCAGAAGTTCCTGGTTCCAGATCAGCTAAGATCTTCCAGCCATTTGGGGACATGGAAGATCTTTCTGACTCCTCTGTAAATTCGCCTTTCCAACAAAAACCTTAAACAAAACAAAAAAATGAAAAGGATGTTTCTGGCACTTTCACTTGAAATAGCTGGAGTTGGCGGCTGTGTCGAGTACAGCTGAGCGGATGTTGCTTGGAATATCTACCAGGCACCACACGGCAGAGTGCCTGCATGGGAGGCCCACCTCCACTGCTGATCCCACTGTCTATTCATGTGCGTCCTGGGAGGCAGACCAAGGCTCAAGTACTTGGGTCCCAGCCACCCAAGTGGGAGTCTCGAAACAGCTCCTGGCTTCAGCTGGCCCAGTCCCCGTGTCTGGGAAATGAACCAGCAGGTGGAAGATCTGTTTTTCTTTCACTCTGGTTCTTCCAAGTCTCCCATGTAGGTGCAGGGACAAAGGACTTGAGCCATCTTCTGCTGCTTTCCCAGGCCATTAGCAGGAAGCTGGATTAGAGGTAGAGTAGCCAGGGACCCAACGCGATGGCTCACTGGCTAAATCCTTGCCTTGCATGTGCCAGGAGCCCATGTGTACTGGTTCATGTCCCAGCTGCTCCATTTCCCTTCCAGTTCCCTGATTCTGGCCTGGGAAAGAAGCTGAGGACGGCTCAAATCCATGGGACCCTGCACCCACGTAGAAGACCCAGAGACTCTTGGCTCCTAACTTCAGATCAGCTCAGTTCTGGTCACTGCAGCCACTGGGGGAGTGAACCAGTGGATGGAAGATCTTTCTCTTTGTATCTCCTCTCTGTATTCTTCCTTTCCAATGATAATAATAATAATAATAATAATAATAATAATAATAATAAATCTTAAAAAAAAACCCAAACAAACAAACAGCAGAACAGCCGGGAGACGAAGCAGTGTCCATATGGAATGCTGACACCTACAGGCTGAGGATCAATTTGCTATGCCATCATGCCAGCCTCACTTTTCAATTTGTTTAAAAGGGGGAAATATTGGTCAAAACTTATTGCACTCTTAAAATTTTAATGAGTGAAAGCTATATTTTAATACAGCTGATTAAAAAAAGTAACTAGAAATAACTGAAGTGTTCAACAGTAGAGTGGTTAAATAAGAATCATACAATGAAATCACACTTAACAAATGAAACTTCTGCTACCTATAAAACACACTCTCAGTTATGTGGGGCTGAGTGAGAAACCTTCCTCAGATTCTATATAATGTAGTCAACTACACAGAGTTTAAGGAGGTGCAATAGTAGAGATGTGTGTGGTGGCACAGAAGTGAAACCTGCTGCTTAGGACGCCTGCCGCGCATATCACATCAGAGTCCCCACGGTTTGGTTCCCAACCTACCTTCTTGCTAATGCATCCTGGGTAGACTGTGGGTGGAGGCCAAATACTGGGGTTCCTGCCATCAACATGGGTGACCCAGACAGCATTCCTGGCCCCTGGGTGTGGCCTGGCCTGGCCTCGCACTGGCTGTTGTGGTTATCTGGTGTGTGAGCTAGCACACACAGCATCTTTCTCTCCCTGTCTCTGTCATTCTGACTTTCAGATAAATAAATCTTTTTTGAAAAAAAATAAAAGAGGAAAAAGATCCATAGCTAGAGGTAAAAAGGGAGACTGTGATTGGAGAATTGATGGGGAAAGTGCACAAAGAATCCTTTGTGCCCAGGAAATGAGCTCTCTGTCCACACAGTGGTTGCACATGTGTGCTAAGCTGCATCCTCATAATATGTGCACCAGTAGTACTGGCATCCCATACGGGTGCTGGTTTGAGTCCCAGTTGCTCCACTGCTGATTCAGCTTCCTGTCAATGCACCTGGAAAAGCAACTGAAGATAGTCCAAGACCTTAGGCCACGGCAGCCATGTGCAAGACCTGGAAGAAGCTCCTGGCCTCTGCATTCAGCTTAGGCATTGTGCCCACCCGGGGACTGAACCAGTGTATGGAGATCTTTCAACTTGCAACTCTTTCTCTCTTTTTTTAAGATTTATTTATTTATTTATTTATTTATTTATTTTTAAAGATTTATTTTTATTATTTTTTCATTGGAAAGGCGGATATACAGAGAGGAGAGACAGAGAGGAAGACCTTCCGTCCGATGATTCACTCCCCAAGTGAGCGCAACGGGCCGATACTATGCCGATCCGAAGCCAGGAGCCTCTTCCGGGTCTCCCAAGCGGGTGCAGGTTCCCAAAGCTTTTGGGCCATTGTGGACTGCTTTCCCAGGCCACAGGCAGGGAGCTGGATGGGAAGTGGAGCTGCTGGGATTAGAACTAGCGCCCATATGGGATCCCGGTGCATTCAAGGCGAGGACTTTAGCCACTAGGCCACGCCACCGGGCCCAACTTGTAACTCTAACAACAACAACAAATATATCTATATACATATATATATATTTTAAAAGGTTACACTTCATTAAGTTTATGGAGTTGACGTTGTGGCATAACAGGTAAAGCCTCTGCCTGTAATGTTGACATTTCAGATGGATGCTGGTTCTTGTCTTGGCTACTCTGCTTCCAATTTAGCTCCCTGCTAATGTGCCCAGGAAAGCAGCCCAGGAAGCCTCCTGGTATCCACAGGGAAGACCCTGATGAAGCTCCTGATTCATAGTGTAGGCTTGGCTCAGCCCTAGCTGTTGCAGATATTTGGGAAGTAAACCAGTGAATGGAAGATGTCTCTGTTTCTCCCCCATCTCTATAACCTTGACTTTCAAAATATCATTATATACATCATTAAAAATAACAAGAATGGAATGGCTTCTTGAAGAGCACGATCAGGACAAAAGCATGGTTGTAGGAATTAAAAGGCCATTTTGTAAAAAGTCGTGGTAACTAAGGAATGAACACACATACCCCAGTCTCAGATGGAGCCCATCATGCTCCAGCCAGGGACCTCAGACATGTCCAACCTGAGACACAGCCCTCCCAAGGCTGGGGGCTACAGAGCTGTGGCAGCTGGTGAAGGTCTCACGGGGCCACAAGAACATGTGAACATGACTACTCGGCACGTGTTGGGGCAGCAGACACAGCTCCAGGAAGCTGTTCCATGGCCCTGGGGTGGAGCCATGAAGGCTTCACAGAGGCTGCCTTGTATCAGCAGACAGCCAAAGTGCAGCCTGTCTGGGGAATGGGATGTGGAGGGAGCTGTGCCGGGCAGGAGGGAGGCCGGCTCAGAGGCACAGATGGTGAGCCTGACTACAGCACTACCAGTGGTGAGGACCAGGATTCAAGGTCCTAAACAGGAGGACTGGGCAGATGCAGGTGGACAGCCTAGCGATCTTCAGGATCTATAACCCGCACGCCTGAGCGATGCTGAGGCCGTTAGAGGACAGACTTCAGCTTCCATCCTCTCTGGCCAGCACCTGCTGACGGCTTCCTATTATGCCCATCATACTTGCACCCCCTTCCCAGTGTGGTCCCGAGGATGCCTTGGGACTCCCCTCACCGCCTGTCCCAGTGACAACGCTGCTTACTTGCTGGGAACGCATTTCCCCAGCTGGCGCCTTGCTCAGCCTTGTTTGACAGTCGGCTCTGGAAGTGCCTCTGGACGAAGCCTTTGCAAGCGGCCACACGCACAAGCCCAGGCACTGGTGCTTGGCTTTGTTTTCTTCGCAGGAGCTGCCACTATCTGCAGTAATCCGAGTTACTCCATGGGGGCTGTTTCCTGTCATGAGGGAGAGCACACTTTTTTTTTTTTAAAAGTCAGATTTACAGAAAAAAATCTTCCATCTACTGGTTCACTCTCCAAGTGGCTGCAACAGAGCTGAGCTGATCCAAAGCCAGGAGCTTCTGGGTCTCCCACGTGGGTGCAAGGTCTCAAGGCTTTGGGCTGTTCTCGATTGCTTTTCTAGGCCAGAAGCAGGAAGCTAGAAGGGAAGTGGAGCAGCTGGGATATAAACTGGTGCCAATATGGGATCCCAACGCATGCAAGGCGAGGGTTTGCCACTAGGCTAGCGCATTGGGCCCGAGAGCACACACTTTGTCCTGTTTATTGCAGCAGCTCCTAGGTTGAGCCTCCATGGCTGCTGCTTATCCTGAACGCCCACTGACTGATGAGCAGCCCTGCATCTCGGAGATGGACACTGGCAATTACGAGAGCAACCCATTTGGCTACTCCTGCCCATCCCATCCTTTCATCTGGCTGGGTGTGACCAGATGTTCACAAGGCACAAGTGCCAATAAGGCTGGGGACAGCAGCAGCAGAGCCCTGGACCTGGGGAAGTGCTGAGAGTGATGCCCTCAGAGTGCTGATCAGGCAGGAAGCTTCAGGAAGTTCTCCAGCTGCCCTGTGGACTGGCACCAAAGTGTGTAGAAAGGGGCTTCTGTGGAGGTTTGTGCTGAGGCACCTGCAGTGCCAGCATCCCAGAAGGCCACTGGTTTGAGTTGTGACAGCTGCACTTCTGCTCCAGCTTCCTGCCAGTGCCCCTGGGAAAGCAAAGATGGCCTGGGGGATTGGACCGTACGTGCAAGCTTGTGGGGAGCTCCTGGATCCTGCTTGGCAAGCTATGGCCACTGCAACCATTTGGGGAGTGAAGCAGCAGACAGAAATGACAGGTCTCTGTTTCCCCCTCCAACTCTGCCTCCTAAAGAAATAAATCTTTGGTGGGGGGGGAGGGAGAAGTGTGTGGGAATAACTATTTTGGTGTAAATAACCTGAAATTTAAATCTATAGTTTCTGGAATGCCTATTTTCAAAATACACACTGTCTATGAACTTCTGAAGACTCCCATAGGTCTCTGATACTGAATACAGGAGCCCTGGACTGGAGCTCTGGCGAGGAAAGTAGGCTATCTCCGTGGAAAGAGCCCTGCTGGCCTCTGAGCCTTCATGTGCTCATCTGTGAAAGGTGGACGATGGTTCCTACATCTGCGTGGAAGACTTGATAATGAACATGAGGTGTTCAGACCAGGCCCCAGGACAGAGGCAACATCCACAGCTCTTGGCAGCTCTTAGCTCACTTGGCTTTCTTTTTTCTTTTTTTAAGATTCACTTATTTTTTATTGGAAAGTCAGATATACAGAAACGAGGAGAGACAGAGAGGAAAGTCTTCTGTCCGTTGATTCATTCTCCAAGTGGTTGCAATGGCCAGAGCTTCACTGATCCAAAGCCAAGAATCAGGGATTTTTTCCAGGTATCCCATGAGGATACAGAGTCCCAAGGCTTTGGGCCATCCTCTACTGCCTTCCCAGGCTACAGGCAGGGAGCTGGATGGGAAGCAGGGCCACTGGGATTAGAACCAGCGCCCATATGGGATCCCGGCGCATGTAAGGTGACGACCTCAGCCTCCAGTATACCAGCACCTGGCTTTTTGCACAGCATTATCCACACCTGAGAGGTAGACAGAGAACAGGTTCCTTGTGCCCCATCAACAGCCAGAGCTGCATTCAACAGGCCCGCACCACAGCACCGGAGCAAGTCAACTGACCTGCCCTACTTTCCCTCCTGCTGGAGTCAGTTCTCCCCAAGCAATCTCTCAGCCCTTTGCTGCAGGGATGGGGCCTCACCTGTTCCAGCCTTCTTCTTTTCTAAAGATTTATTTATTTATTTGAAAGGCTGAGTTACAGAGAGGAGAGAAAAGGGAGAGATCTTCCATCCGCTGTTCACTCCTCAAATTGCTGCAATGGCCACGACTGTGCCAAGCTGAAGCCGGGAGCCTGGAGCTTCTCTCAGTTCTCCCATATGGGTGTAGGGGCCCAGGCACTTGGACCATCTTCCTGTGCTTTCCCAGGCGTATTAGCTGAGAGCTGAATCAGAAGTGGAGAAGCTGGGACTCAAACCGGCGTGTGTATGGGATGCAGTGCCCCAACCCTTGCCTCATCTTGGTCTTCTGACAACCTGCAGAGATCTGAATGGAAATGGTGTGTAAGCTGCTTCTTGATAAGGTCACCGACAACCCTGGTGTCTTTATACTTTGCTGCCACCAGGTCTCTGTAGAGGAGATCACATCACTAAGGATGGGAAATGGCCAGGTAACAGGACAGGTTTGAGCAAAACCCCAGCATGCTCTGGGCATCCCTCCCTATGATCTTCATACTGACATCCTCCCCCAACGGGGGTCAAATGTCAGGAGCCCTCCCCTGGGCTCCTGGGCTTCCTCTCTGCCTTCTGCGCCACCATATTTTCTCATCATCTAGAAGTGGCTGGGCACATAGGAGTCTCAGCAAATGTGGCAAACTGAAGGAATTCATGGACACATTTTCATGCACATTTTATTTTTGGAGGACTCAGATTTGCATACTTAAAGCAAGTACACAAGCATGTGAAAACACAAAACGATCCAATTATTTGAACACAATACAAATTTAAGGTCATTTGAGGATCAGCAACACCAAGGGCCTAAACAACGACTCCATTCGTTTGGCTGGTTTTCGATCAGGAGAAGAAACTCATCCCCTAGCTGAGCTAGGAGAAGGGGCAGTGGACAAAGAAAGTTACAGTTGGGGAGGAGGAGTCTGGGACGCTTTGGCTATTGGGGTTTGACGCTGTGCCCATTACGCGTTCACAGTACCTACTGCACAAACTGGCTGTCAGGGTCGGAGAAAACGGGTTTGCGAGGGCAGTCCCCTTCTCCCACCCAGGGGCTTCTCATCCCCCGTTCCCCGCACCTGTTCTGCAAGGTGCAACACCTAGGATCTAAATCCTCTCAGCGACTGAGATGTTGTGTGGGACAAGGGGTGCGACCCCAGATCCCCGGAGCCTGCGCGGCCCCAAACCCACACCACACCCCTTGCAGCAGGAGGTGACCTTGTTACTCAACAAATGAAGAAGCCCACGAACGAATGAATGAAGATGCTTCCTCTTCGGTCCGCGCGCAGCTGCAGAGCCTCCCGGCCCCCTGACCGCTCCCGCTGCACTAGGACTCAGGTGCAAGCAAGGCGGGAAGCGAATCCCGGCCGTCAATGGAAGCCGGCACTGGCCTGGGCGGCGGGATCTCTGGCTGACCACTCGAGGTGGGCCGGTCGGACCCCTGGCCGGCGCGGGGATCCCTCCACCGAGGACGCCGCCCTCGCCTCGGCTCTACCGGGACCCTCTTGGTGCCCGGGTGGACGCCGGAGGACACTCACGTGAGCACCGGGATGGGCGTCCACACTACGCAGTAAGGGAAGCGGCTCCGCTCCACGTCCATGGCGACGCCGCTCGAACCGTGGTACTGCTTCATGTCCGTCTCGGCCGCCGTCGACACCTCCACTTCCGCCATCTCGGGCGGGGGTGGCGGCGGCGACAGGAGCAGGAGCGGAGAACTCCCTTCCGCTTCCGCCATGCTGCGCGCGGCCCGCCCCGGCCCGCCTCTGCTGCGGCGACGCTCGGCCCCCTGGCGTCACTTCCTGGAGGTGGGGTCCGTTCGCTGGGGCTTCCCCCTGGGAATTGAAGCCGCGTTGCTCTGGGGGCCGGCTTGCCTCGCGTGTTAGGGTGGCTGACCTCAGGCCGCGCGCGGGCTGGCCTGGGAGACCGGCCGAGAACTCTAACGATTCCGCCCTGGGAGGTGTGGTGTCGTCGCTAAGCATGTGCTATACCTTATTTCTATTCCCCATAAACAAGTTTAGCCCACATAACAGGTGGGCTGAAGGCTCAAGAGGCGAAGGGAGCGCCACAGCTTTAACTCAAAGCTTACTGTTTCCCTTGTCCTTATCTTCCTGTGGCTTTCCACAGGTAGTAGTAGCATGAGGGTGGAGCGAGAGAGTGAGCGAGTGCAGGAGGGACCCCCAGGCAGGTGGCACAGGTGGCACGGAGGTGGGGCGTGCAGGAGCGTTGAGTGCCTGGCTGGAATGGGCCACACGCCTTAGGTGCTGTTTCATCCCTCCATGGTACAAATGGGGAAACAGAGGCCCAGCGAAGAATACTGTGTGAGAACCCACACAGCCACTTTCACAAAGAGGTCAGGGGCAAATCTTGACGCTTTTTTTCTGTACTTTTTTAAAGGTTTTTTTCCCCCTAAGATTTATCCATTTTTATTGCAAAGTCAGATATACAGAGAGGAGGAGAGACAGAGGGGAAGTTCTTTCATCCGATGATTCACACCCCAAGTGACCTCAACAGCCGGTGCTGAGTCGATCCAAAGCCAGGAGCCAGAAATTTTTTCTGGGTCTCCCACGTGGGTGCAGGGTCCCAAAGCTTTGTGCTGTCCTCCACTGCTTTCCCAGGCCACATGCAGGGAGCTGGATGGGAAGTGGGGCTGCTGGAATTAGAACTGGAGCCCACATGGGCTCCCGGCACGTTCAAGACAAGGAGTTTAGCTGCTAGGCCACTGCGTTGGGCCCCAAGATTTTTTTACTTTTATTGGAAAGGTAGATATGCAGAGAGAAGGAGAGACAGATTTTATGTCTACTGGTTCACTCCCCAAGCAGCTGCAACAGCTGGAGCTGAGCTGTTCTGAAGCTAGGAGCCAGGATCCTTTTCCTCCACTGCTTCCCAGGCCATAAGCAGGAAGCTGGATGGGAAATGGAGCAGCTGCGATACAAACTAGTGTCCATACTGGTTTAATGATGCATACAAGGTGAGAACTACATCCACTAGACTACTGCACTGGACCCATTCGTTGTTATTGTTTAAGGTTTATTTATTTATTTGAAAGGAAGAATTATAGAGCAACAAGACAGAGAAAGCATACTTCCATTGTTGGTTCACTCCTCAGATGACTGCAACAGGCAGGGTAGGGCCAGACTGAAGAGCTAGTAGCATCCATATGGGATGCTTGCATCTCAGGTGGCAATTTTACCACTATTCTACATAGCAAATCCTCTACTTGGCTTTTTAAGAGATGCCAAAGAGCCCAGTGATGGTTAGCTAATCCTCTTGTAAGTGCCAGGATCCCATGTGGGCATCAGTTCATGTCCCAGCTGCTCCACTTCCCAACCAGCTCCCTGGTTGTGACCTGGAAAAGCTGTGGAGGATGACCCAAAACCATGGGACCTGCACTCATGTGGGAGATTTGGAGGAGGCTCTTGATTCCTGGCTTCAGATAGCTCAGCTCCATCCATTGTGGCCACTTAGGGAGTGAACCAGCAAACAGAATCTCTCTCTGTAATTCCTTCTCTTTGTAAACCTGCCTTTCCAGCAAAAATAAACAAATCTTTTAAAAAAAGAAAAAGCCTAAGTAGGGGCTGGTGCTGTGGCATTGCAATTTAATCTTTCACCTGCAGTACCAGGATCCCATATGGGTGCTAGCACGAATCCCATTTGTTCTGCTCCAAATCCAGTTCCCTGTGAATGGCCTGGGAGGCAGAGGATGACCCACATGGTTCAATCCCTGCACCTGTGTAGGAGACCTGTAAAAACTTCCTGGCTTTGGACCAGCTCAGTTGTAGTTCTTGCAGCCATTTGGGGAGTCAGCCAGCATATGAAAGACCTCTGTCTCTCTCTCCATCTCTCTATATCTGTCTTTCAAATAAAAACAAAAATTAAATCATTTTAAAAAGAATGATGCCAAATGGATCTGGGCAGTCTTGGGGGCGGGGAGGATAAGTAGAAGGGCAGGCAGGCAGTCTGCTGCTTCAGGGAGGGGCCACTCAGGAACGTGGGAGCTGCTCCAGTCTTGCCTTCCCTGCCTCGTCCCCCAGGGCAGATCTGGGGGACACCTGTTTCTAGCAGGTGGTGTTTGTAATGCACGGCATAGGTCTGTTTGTCTCATTGGGAAGCTTCAAGGTCCCCAAATTCAGTACCCAGCAGGATCAGTGCCTGCTGAGTGGTTATTAAGGTATTGAACAAGAATGGCTTGTTTTTATAAAGATCTTTCATCTTCCATGGCTGAACAGAGCCTGACCCACTTACAGTTCACTGTGCCTGGGTGCTCCCCCTCCAGTGATCCCTGAGCCTTGTGTGGTCCTTGATGGGCAGGAGCCAGTACGGAGCCCAGGCCCCAGGGATCGATGGGCTGTGCAGCCAGTGAATGCTGAGTGGATCAATTCCAGCACTTGATTCAGCTGCTGCAGCTGCTCTGGGCCACAGCCCCCAAGGAGGGTCTGTGCTGGAGATGTCCCTCTGCGGTCTCTGTCAGCCATCCTCTGGCATAGGCTGGCAGGTGACATCCTTAAACCTGTATTGAGTATGTGCATGAATAAACAACCGAAGCCTGTTGCTTATTGTCAGTTGTGATAACTGATAATTCATACACCTAACCTGGCTGCCCTTGGTGGCTTCCTGTTACTTTTGGTATAAAATACAAGCCTCTTACGGCCCTCCATCATTTGAACTATCCTTGTTCACTCTGCTACAGCCACCTGAGGCTTTTTCCAGTTTTGTATCCTCTCTCTTTTTAAAAAAAAATTTTTTTAATTATTTGTTTTTATTGGAAAGTCAGATATACTCAATGGAGAGGATATACTCAAAGAGGAGAATCTTCCATCCGATGATTCACTCCCCAAGTGACCGCAACAGCTGGAGCTTAGTTGATCAGGAGCCAGCTGCTTCTTCCTGGTCTCCCACGTGGGTGCAGGGTCCCAAGACTTAGGGTCATCCTTGATGGCTTTCCCGGGCCACAAGCAGGGAGCTGGATGGGAAGTAGGGCTGCAGGAATTAGAACTGGCATTCATATGGGATCCCAGTGCATGTAAGGTGAGGACTTTAGCCACTAGGTCACCGCACCAGGCCCTACTCTGTCCTATCTTGGGGACTTGATACACACCGTTCCCTTTCACCTGCAATGTACCCACTACTCACTTTTTTCTTTTTAAAGATTCATTTATTTTTATTACAAAGTCAGGTATACAGAGAAGAGACAGAGAGGAAGATCTTCCGTCCGATGATTCACGCCCCGAGTGAGTGCAATGGCCAGTGCTGTGCCGAGCTGAAGCTGGGAACCAGGAACCTCTTCCGGGTCTCCCACACAGGTGCAGGATCCCAAAGCTTTGGGCCGTCCTTGACTGCTTTCCCAGGCCACAAGCAGGGAGCTTGATGGGAAGCGGGGCTGCCGGGATTAGAACTGGTGCCCATATGGGATCCCAGCGTGTTCAAGGCAAGGACTTTAGCCTCTAGGCCACTTTGCCGGGCTCCCACTACTCACTTTTGAGGAAAAATAAATTGCTTATTTTTTTAAAATTTACTTTTTTATTGGAAAGGCAGATATACAGAGAGGAGGAGACACAGAGAAGATCTTCTGTCTGATGGTTCACTTCCCAAGCAGCCGCAATGGCCAGAGCTAAGCCAATCCAAAGCCAGGAGCCAGGAGCTTCTTGCAGGTCTCCCACATGGGTACAAGATCCCATGGCTTTGGGATATCCTTAGCTGCTTTCCCAGGTCACAAGCAGTGAGCTGGATGGGACACGGGGCCTCTGGGATTAAAACTGGTACCCATATGGTATCCCAGTGCATTCAAGGTGAGGACTTGATCTGCTGTGCTAACATGTTGGGCCTAAATTTTGCTTATTTTGAAGTACAGAGTTAGACACACACACAGAGAGAGAAAGAGAGAGAGAGAGAGAGAGACTCCATCTAACAATTGACTTTCCTGATAGCTACAATGACTAGAACTGGTTCAGGCTACAGTGAGAATCCAGGAAATTCAGCTGAGTCTCCACCTGCGTTCAAGGTTCTAGGACCTTGAGACATTTTCTGCTGGTGCGTTTCCAGGCACACCAACAGGGAGCTGGATCAAAAGTGCAGTAGCCAAGTAGGCTACTGCCTCAAGTGTCAGCATTCCAAATGGGCACCGGTTTGTATCTTGGCTGCTCAACTTCTGATCCAGCTTCCTGTTTATGGACTGGGTAAGTAACACAAAATGACCCAAGTGTTTGTGACCCTGTACCCACATGAGAGAACCGGAAGAGGCTTCTGGATCCTGGATATGGGTTGGCTCAGCTCCAGCTGTTGAGGGCACTGGGGGAGAGAAGAGCTGTGGGTGGAAGATCTCTCTGTTTATAAATCTGCCTTACAAAAAAATAATCTAGGGCCTGGCACCGTGACCTAGTGGCCAACATCCTTACCTTGAACATGCCAGGATCCCATATGGATGCTGGTTCCAATTCCAGCAGCCCTGCTTCCCATCCAGCTCCCTGCTTGTGGCCTGGGAAGGACTTGGGACCCTGTACCTGCGTGGGAGATCTGGAAAAGGCTCCTGATTGGCTCAGCTCCTGCCGTTGCAGCCATTTAGGGAGTGAACTAGTGAATGGAAGATTTTTTTTCTCTGTGTCTCTCTGTAAATCTGTCTTTCCAATAAAAAGAAATAAATCTTAAAACAAACAAAAAAATTGAAAGGCAGAGAGGGACCAGAGTTGTGACCTGGTAGCTTAAAGCTGCTGCCTGCAATACTGGCTTCCCATTTGAATGTTGATTTTTGATGGGTTCAAGTTCTGGCTA